CTGGAGCAAAGACTTCTTCATAATCAACTCCATGTTGTTGATCGAAACCTTTGGCAACAAGACGAGCTTTGAACTTTTCTACTTCTCCTCTTTCATTTTTCTTGATTTTGTAAATCCATCTAACACCAATGGCTTGCTTGTTTGTTGGAAGCGTTGCCAATTCTTATGTTTTGTTCTTATGGATGGCATTCATTTCTTCATCCATAGCAATTCTCCACCTTTCCTCTTGAGTAGCTTCTTTAAAATTAATTTGTTTAGAACTTGTAAAAAGACAATAAAGAGAGGAATTGTTGGTCTCCTTAGTTTCAGTATAAATGTCATGAAGACTTCTCATCTTCCTTGGTGATGCTCGAAGAGCTTGAAGGAGGGCTCAAATCGGTATGACGAGTCGGTGTTGCGGGTGGTGTGATAAACTGTTCATTGACTCTAATTGGTTCCGAATTTTCTTCAAACAAAGGAAGAAAATTGTAATCATCCTCTTGCTTTTCCCAATTCCAGCAATCATCTTCATCAAACTTTACGTCACAACTAACAACAATTCTCTAAGTTCTTAGACTATAAAGCTCGTATCCTTTAGACTTTGCATCATAACCAATAAAAACAAGTTTCTCACTTTTGTCATCCAATTTGATTTTGACTTCGTCCGGAACATGAACATAAGTTGTGCACCCAAAAACTCTTAAATGCAAAAGATTTGGCTTTCTTCCATTCCATACTTCTTGTGGTGTAGCCTTTGTCAAGCTTTTTGTAGGACTTCCATTAGACAAGTATACCGCACAAGAAACCGCTTCGACCTAAAAATCTCTAAGCAAATGCTTGCTCTTCAACATGCTTTGGGTCATCTCAAGAATGGTTCTGTTCTTGTGTTCCACGACACCGTTTTGCTAAGGTGATCTAGGAACAGATCAAGAATCTTCGATGCCATGTGACTCGCAAAAGCTATCAAATTCTTTTAAAGTGAACTCACCACCTCGATCGGTTCTCAAGGCTTTTATGGAGTAACCACATTGATTTTCAATCGGCACCTTGAATTTTTTGAAGGTTTCAAAGGCTTCGATTTTTCCTTCAAAAAATAAACCCATGTTTTATGGCTAAAATCATCAATAAATAGTAAGAAATATTTGTTCTTACCAAGAGAAAGTGGATTAATAGGTCCATAAATATCGGCATGTATAAGTTGAAGTGGCTCCAATGCTCTTGAATCGATTTGCTTGGAAAACTATTTCTAAAATGTTTCTATAGATGCAGCCTTCACAAATCTGATATAGATGATTTATAAATGGCAAACCATGCACCATTTTCTCCTTCCCCATTTGCATCAAACTAGAAAAATTCAAATGACCCATTCGTTGATGCCAAAGCCAATAGACATCCGAAGTTGAGGCTTTCAAACACTTTGCACTTGTCGGCTCGAAGTTTGAGAGAAAACATTTGATTCTTTGACATCTTCACTTTTGCAATTAGTGTGTCTCTAGTGTCTCCGATCACAAGTCTACCATCCTTCAATCAAATATCATATCCTTTCTCTAAGAGTTTACCCAAACTCATGATATTTGTTTTGAGTGTAGGCACATAATACACTTGAGAAATAAATTGATGAGATCCATTCTTGGCTCGAATTAGAATATCACCAATTCCTTCAACCATCACCTTTCTTTCATCTCCAAAAGAAATACTTCTTTTAAAAGATTCATTTAAAGAGGAAAATAAATCTTTCTTACTCGTGATGTGATTGCTTGCGCATGTGTCCAAGAACCATGCTTCTTGGCATTTTTGTTCATTGCCCATCGGCAAGAAAGCCGATTCTTCCTCCTCTTCTCCTTTTGCACGGTAAGCTTTTTCTTCCTTAGGACTCGAACTTCGCACTCGGAGGCATAGTGACCATATTTCTCACAATTATAACACCGCACATCAGCCCTTCGTCCTCCACTTTTATGCCAATTTCCTTTACCACGTCCTCTTGTTGTAGGGTATCTCCGATTGGTTTCTTCGAATTATAGGAATTATAATCGGATCCGCCTCTTCCTCTACCATTTCCACATCCTCTACGACCTCTACCTCTGCCTCTTCCTTTTCCTCTTTGTGATTCTTTAGTCCCATCTTGTTTTTCTTTATCTTTATATGACGGCTTTGAGAGAAGAACTTGTGCTTGTGGTTCTTTCTCCTTCATGCGTTCTTCACGAGCTTGTAGAGAGCCCATGAGTTGATCAATAGTCATGGTCTCTAAATCTTTTGCTTCCTCAATAGCCACAACAACATAATTGAATTTTTGATCAAGAGACCGCATGATTTTTTCAATTACTTGAACCTCCTCCATCTTCTCACCATATCTTTTCAATTGATTAACAACGACCAGGACTCTAGAAAAATAATCTGAAATTGATTCTGAATTTTTCATCTTAAAAGACTCAAACTCAGCTCTTAAGGTTTGACGACAAACTTCGATCACCTTATCAACTCCTCTGAATGAATTCGTTAGAATTTCCCATGCATGTTTCACACTTGTCGCATCAAAAACCTTCTTAAACATGGTTTCGTCCAAGCACAAATGAATCAATGTTAGTGCTTGTTGATCTTTTTCTTTGTCCTTTGGAGTGCTTCCCTCTCAACTCGTAGTCATGCGTGCCATGGCTTCTTCACCTTCTGGTTGCTCATAACCTTTCTTAACAATTTCCTATGCATCTTGTGATCCTAGCAAGGCTTTCATTCTAATACACCAATTGTCATAATTTTCTTTTGTGAGTTTAGGAAATTGGAAAGGGAACATGCCTCCATTCATCATCTTCTTCTAATGGGGGCTCTGATACTAGATTGTTGGCACAAGAGAGAAGAATAATGGACTGAAATTTAGAAGATAGGAAAACTTATATTATTCATAACGATAAATACATTATATATAGCTATAAATCTTAATCACTAAGATAGACTTTTGATATCCCATTCATGAACATAACCGTAAACTCTTAAAATACCAAGACTTATCACATACCACGAATAATGATAATAATTAATTTAAGTTTATCTACTAACAGATTATGTATGAGCTATCGCTGCGCCACCACACCATTAGGTACCGATATGTTTGAAGGATGTCTCAACTTGTTCATATAGTTTGACGTCCCTGCATCTTCCTTTAACAGCCAAGAAAAAACAACATTTTGACTGGATTGTTGGTTTCTCAAGCTAAAAGTACATAGCTTCACCTGATTTTCCTATCCTTAAGATGCTTAAACTGAATGCAATATATCTGCAGCAAGGCTTTCATATGAAGCTGTCATATTATGTTGATTGTGTTCGAATAAGAAATTGGGTTGTTAGTGTTTTCCTATGAAGCGTGCATCACAACCTAGCCAGGAAATTCAAAGAAGAACAAATGCTAAACAGCACTAAGAGGTCTGTCATATCAAGAATTAACTGCCTGACTGACGTGCTAATGTGCAGGGAGCCACTTGAAATAATCACAAAGAACAAAGAACATTTTTTCCAGTACCTAAAATTAATATGAGTAGGGGTGTTTCGGTTTTGAAATATTTCAAGATGGTTTTTAGTTAATTAATTTTAAAAAAAAATTACCAAAAACCAAACCGAAATGTTATTCGATTTCAAAATATTTCAATTTCGATGTTTGACAATTCGGTTTTTACTCATTTTATTTTATTTTATTTTATTTTTTCTAAAAATGGCTAATTATATTAAAGTTCTTGAAATATCTTTTTAGAGTGAGTTTCTTTTCTGTTTTATAGACTACTAGCTAGGAAACTAAATTGTGCCAAAAAAAAAAAATAGCAAAGGCATTGGTAGATTAACAAATAATAAATTATCCACTCAATAAGGTTTGAATTTGAGATGATAGGAAATCTGCCACTACTTTTGCTAATTTGTACACATCCAGACTTGTAGTTGAGACTAAGAGAGCACGTATGAAACTGTGAGAAGAAATGCATTTGGAGGAGGAGGGTTTTTCAATTTGGAAATAATGGATGTAGGAAATGATTTGACTTATATACATATAAGTTTTGTATTCGGGTTTGGGAATATATATTTTACATAATTTATATTATTTTCTATTATATTTTACATATATTTCAGTTTTTCGGTTTAATTGATTTTTTAAAAAAACAAAACCAAGCCCAAACCCGAAAATCAAAATATCAATTTTAGTGCAGTTCGGTTTGGTCATTGAAGATTTTGGATGAGCGTTTGAAGTTGACCTAGAGGGGTCTTAGGTTCAAATTTCGTATGAGCTTCAACATTTGGCAGAGAGGTTATAACTGGCCCATCAAATAAAATTGAAAACCTAGAGGGGTCTTAGGTTCAAATTTTGGAAGAGCAGATGACGGTTTGGGTACTGAAGTCGCTCTATTTTGTAGCCCAATAGCTGGTATGGAATCACAGGAAGGTGGAATATACCTGACTCCAGCTACAAGGTGCAGAACATAAATCCACCATGCACACGCTTCACTCCTAGAAATTAAAGTTTATTACGTCCAAGGAAAACGATGTAAAGGGAACTGGTCTTCAGGAAGAAATATTTCACAGTGAATTTCACAAACGAAGTGACCAGAAAATTTTGTTATTTGTTTTCCATTTGCTCTACGACTTATTTCAGTTCTCTTACACAAACACAAGGTTGCATAAACTTCTGCAGGCTGGGTATACCAAGGCATTCCTGCTTGGAGGTTGCCAACAAAGCAACTTGATACACTTCAGGGAAATCACTCTAAGCAGGCAGAAAAACATGCAGAAGTTGATCAATGACGAAAGCACGTATTGAATAGAAATTTCAAGGAAACTTCATGATGTCAGAGATGAAATTTCCTTCTTCATATACTTAGCCTATGACCTCGGATGAAGGTCCCACTTGACCATTCCACTGAAGATTCATAGAAGTCAGGCCTTTAGAAATAGAACTTCCTTGTAGATGCTAAGTTAAATTTGTCTGTTATGCAGTCTCATAATCATATGATAGCTGATCAATGGTGCTATTTGGGACAAAATAATCACATTTTGAGATCCCAGGGTTCTGCTATATTAGGTTCTTCCACAGTACGTTTTGGTTCTTGCCTTAAAAGAGTAATCCCAGTTACACCAGAGGACATGTTTGAATGGAGGACAAGCACTTCAAGATTTTGATAGGAACAAAAAGGAATGGCATGTCAATTTGATTTAGCAGGCTAATCTCAGAGTAGGGCAAAAGGAAATTACCAAAGAGCATATTCAGAACAGATTTTGACCCTCAAACAAACCAAGCTGTTAACATGAACAAGTAAGATATGAAACTGATCCATGTCAATTCCATTAATTCCAAGCCTCTCCTGTCCTCTCTTGGCGTTGAGTGCAGTGAAACCTCGTGGAGTTCTCTGGCATCACCTCTACTATCAGGGCATATGGCTCTGAGGTTTGAAATTAATTTTGTGAAGTTTTGTCCACTCTCCTTTTCTCTCTGTCAATGCTGACAGGAAACTTTCCAATGCTTTGTACGCGCATTTGCGCTGCTTGATCAGTTCCTCTGGTTCACTAGATACGCTTAGAGTTTCTGAATCTACCTCCAAATTAACAACATAATGAGTTTCTGTAGGCAATAATTTCTTTTTTGCTTTTTTTTTTTTTTTCATCATTATGTAGAGCATAATCAGATCTACCAAACCCTAATTTACCAATCAAGGAATAAGTCCTCTCATTCCCAAGCCAATCATTGTCTGAACTCTGAAGGCCTCTCATTCCTAAGCCAATCATTGTCTGAACTCTGAAGGCCTCCTCTTTGCTTCTCTATTTTTGGTCTCTTGTACCGTATGATTCTACCATCTTACTTGACTCTTGCACCTCTTTTCTTCTGTCCACTCCCTGTCAAAACCTTTAAAAATACAAAGAAATCAAAATATTGGACCATGACAGATTTTTTCCAAGATGTCAATCAAAACTTCATGTCATATTATAATACTACTCAATTCTTACATGCAAAATGCACTACTTGCTTGATCTCAAACTTTTGGTTAACAACTAATTAACCATATACATCATCTTTCTAGAAGGGCAAAAAAAAAAAAAAAGACGTGATCGTTTTGTTTGGCTGAAGTTCAATAAACTGCTAAATTGCTTTGGAGTAGAAGAATGTTGAAGGATGTGGCTAGGTGAAGACTCAACTTGTTCTCCCTGAAAGTCAGGCCATAGAAAGGCTCCAATTGCAAACTCTCTCTTGTAGTCCAAGTCACCATGAGTAGAGAACCCATAGGAAGCCAGGAGAAGGTCAAGCTCCGATTCAGGCAAGTCTTCGTAATCCTCCTTGGTGTATTTTGGGTAATGGAGTGGCATCTGAAAACTGCTACTGGTGTCCTTCTCTCTAATCACCATAGGAAGCAAACTACCATTTTCTTTGTTTTTGTTATTCTTCTCCTCTGCTTTTTCTTGCTCTTTCTTGTGGCAGCCGGAGTCTTCCTTGTTCGTTCCTTCAGGAAAAAGAATAGTGAGACCAGAGACATAGCGCCCCATGTTTTTGGTGCCCAAAAACCCTTGATTCCACCAAAAAAGAGAGACCCTAGAGTTTTTCTGTAACCCTGGCTTTGAATTAATGGAAACAAGCATAATAAATTTGATTGCAAGTCTGGATTGAAAGAGGAAATTTCCTTCTAGCATCAGGATTGCTAAAAACCGGAAATAAAGCAAACTTGTAGTTTCCTTTCTTGATCAGGAATGATATACACGCGTAATATAGAATTAGCAGAATAATTGAAAGAGGACTAGACCGACACATAGAGAGAGACTAAAATTAACTACCTTCTTAATTTTAAGATAAGCAGTAAATCATTCCATAATCCAAGACGCTAACCTAAACGCAAATATTTATATGATAGAAACAAGAAATCAATGTGTCGGACAACCATTATTCCTTTGCTTATATATATATATATATATATATATATATATATCTTCTTCTTCTTTTTTCTGAGCAATTTCTATGTGTTCAGGTATTAGTCCAATTGAGTAAATTACAAACCACCATCATTCCTTTGCTTTAATTTATACATTTTTCTAGCACAAGAAACTGTTATCGCAAAAAACTACTTTGAACCTAGCCAGCAGCCTTGCATCCTCATACGAAATTTCGGAAGAAACTTAAGAAACGCAAATATTTATGTGACAGAACAAGAACATACATATATACAAAATGAAAAGAGAAACAAGATTCCGCATACATATCATCTTAGAATTACAGAAGCAATTTGAGGGATATACAACACATTTCTCTGAATTTTAAAAATAAATTTCGATCTCTATGGCACTAAAGTTTCAGTCACTCGGTCAGTAATACTTGGTAACATGGTTCCGCATCCAGAGTTCATACATGGTCATATGAAATGCATCAAGTCTGACTGGAGGTAGATTCCATTGGAAATGCTTGCGGACCTGACTCTAATTGAGTTCTTCAAAAAATTAGCAATTCGTGCAGTAGCAGTCACATGAATGTCTGCACAGGTTACGAATAAGTGATCGGTGCCCAAAGTTCTGTACCAATAAGGGTACTTGGAAATAAGGCTGTTGACGAAATCATCGACGGCAATAGCCCTTTCATCCTCTGATCGTCCCTGCAAATAGCATCATCAACGTACAACATGCAGTAACTATTAAAACTCCTCGGTGAACTGTGACACAACTGATATATATATATATATATATATATGCCTGGGATAACCAAAATACACCAAAAATCATGCCGACCAATATCAATAAAAACACAACAAATTTATACCGCAGCAGGCAACGAATAAAAAGATACGGGAATGAGGAAGAGGCTGGTGAGCCATTTCAGGATCTCGGGTCCAGAACCGAGTCTGATCGAGATTCAGATAGAATAATCCTTCATTCGCATACTCGTCATCACATACAGTAATATTATGTGGGTACACAAAGATCTTGAAGTTCCTCTCCATTTCCTCAAATTGTGGACCATCGAACAGCCTCAAGTTAATTATAACCTAACCCTGCTCTTTCCCACCTAGCAAATCCATCCATCCACCCATTATCATCAACCTGACTTACTGGTTTGAGAAACAATATCAAACATACTCCAAAAATTCCAGATGCCAATGTAACATATAACATTCGGAATTGTTTGTGATCCCACGTCATCATTTATCCCGATGGTAAAATTGTAGTGGCATTGGTAAGAATGATGGTAAAAATAATAAATAGAGACTCGGCCTTTTGGGAGGGGTCCACAGAACCCATGCATTAATGATGGCAATAAGAATGACGGTAAAGTTGGATTTTGTCCATTGAAATATAGTCCATCCGATTATCCATTAAAATAAAATAAAATAAAAACAATATAACATTACAATCGTAAGAAGTGACAAATTTAAATTTTTTATATTAAAATATTTAAATTTGTAAAAAATCTCATTACAAGAAAAGACAATTAATAATAACTTTTTTTTCTTAGTGACAACCAATTTAGTTTGCAATATAATTCCGCTTCTCCTCTGATTCGAAATTAATCCATTTGTTTCTTTATAATCTTAAAGATCAGTTATCTTATATGATTTAATTTACATAATTAGCAATGTTAAATTACAAAAATAAATTAATGGAAAGTAAAAATTTTTTATTATATTATTTAACGTATGCTGATATACGAGAACGGACGTTAATCGCGAATTCGAATTTTTTTTTAAATAAAAACACATCAAATAATTGATATCTTTTGGATAAATTCCTTCATGAATTTTGAATTACACAATAAGGGGGTGTTTGATAACCCAATTAAGTAGCTTAAAAAATTAAGTTATAGTACTTAATATAATAAGTTTGTTTGATAACCTAAATAATCTTAATAAATTCAGTCAAAATCTACTTAATCGGGTAAGTTAAAATTTTTAACTTATTACTTTTTGATTCACTCAGTTGAAATATTTTTAAAACTTTTTAAATATGACTAAATAGCCCTCATATATTTTTATAACTTTAGCTATACAAATCAACCGAAAAACAATCTCTACTATTTTTATATTGGCGAAACAAAAAAGACGTTCTCTATTATCGGTGCTTTCATCTTATCATCATCAACAAACTACTAGGAATCCGAGACGTCAAGATCTAATCCTATTACGGGTAATTTTCCTTTTATTTCATTATAGATGATTTCCTTTTATGTCTATTAATTTTCCTTTTATTCCATTGTAGATGATTTCTTTTGATGTCTATTGATATCTTGATTGTTTTTTCTTTTGTATAATTTTTTACAAAAAAGTTGATTCGTTTTTGTAGATTAAATTATGTTTTAGTTTTGGTTGAGAGAGAATAGGACTAAATATTATGTTCGTCGAGAGCTATTTTAGTCGTATTCCATGACTATAGATAGGCTTTTATTGATACCAAGAACACCGGACGAGTAATCAAGATTTGCCTAATTTACCTATTTTTATCTAATAGTGTTGTAAAAGTCAATATTTATCCGTCAAATTGGCATGCTTTCCGGATCTTATACTCGTTTTGATTGAATGATTTAGGGTTTGATTTAGGGATTACGGTACGCCTAAGAATTTTAAGGAAAAAAGAATAATAATAATAATAATCGAAGCTAGGGAACCGAGAATCGAATTGAAAGAACATCAAAACCCAAAGCGAGAAACCAAAAAATGCGAAGAACATCAAAACCCCTACCCGAAATCAAGAACAAACGAACAAAAACCTAGAATTTTCCCGGAAAATGCGATAACTATTCCCAATAAAATTCTTTGAATTTTTACTCTTGTTCTTGGTCTTTAGAATAAGATCAACCTCCGGCTCTTGCTCCGACTTAAACTTCGACCACGGATGCGACTATGGTCGCGGCTATCACCTGCAGACCTTTAGAATAAGATCAACCACGACTAGGGCTCCTGGATGAATCCCGTTTGGAATCATATTCCCTCACCTACAAGTAAAAATTGTTCAAGCATATTTTTAAAATACTAAACACAAATCATATTCCCTCACCTCCCGGATGAATCTTGTTGTGGCCGTAAGTGACTCGTAGTGTTGGTGAAGAGGAAGAAAAATAGAGAGAGTACGGTGGTGTGCCGTGAGTGACGGTTCGCGTGCGGGATTGAGAGAGAGAGACTTTTTGAAGCTTGCCGTAGTGTGGAGTGGCAAGTGAGAGAGAAGGAGATGGGGAGAGACTAAAGCGATGAGATGAGGGAGAAGGGGAATGGGAAGGGGAAGTCCGTACAAAGAGTCTTGGAGGAGGTAAATGACAATGGATTTGGATTTTGATTAATTTACTCGATCATGCCACTCGTACCGGAAAATGAATGTGCCCCTATTCTTGTTTTGCTCTTTTAAATGAATCTTTTAACTTGTTGAGAGAATTTTAGGAAAAACCTAATATATTTACGTAAGGAATGCTTGTCTCTCTTGCCGTGCTATAGGTTCATTAGGTTGGCATTCGGTGGCGGTGCTTCACATCTATATGAGTCAACCTCTAAATTAATAAAAAGAGATTTAATTGCCATTTGTCATTGCTTTCTTGGCATTGTTTGTAAGTTTTAACGAGATATTTGCATGGCCTATCGGTTATCATTCCTATACATTAATTTTAACATAATGTGAATAATTTCTCTCTTCCTCAATCAGTTTAATTATTTTTTAAAACAAGTTAAGGTAATTTTTATGATGTAATTTTGAGTTCTAAGATTATAGTAATGTGACTTTTGGTATAATAATTTTATTATGTGTAGGATGGCTTCGAAGATAGTGCTAGAGCCAATTGGAAGGACCCTAAAATAGTAAAAAAAAATTGGATACATGCATTGAACAAGTGAGTATTCTTGGAAAAAATGGAGGGAGCTTAAAAAAGAATCATGGGACAATGTAGTGAAAGCATTTGAGGAAAAGAAAGGCATTAAGTTTTCTCAAAAACAATTGAAGAATGAGTGGACGTATTTGAAAAAGAAGTACATAGTGTGGTCAAAACTAATAGATAAAAGTGGGCATGGTTATGATCCGAGTAACTAATACCGTCAATTGGATCGCACAAGAGTGGGACGATTATGAACAAGTATTATTTCTTTTATAAATTTCATTCCCTAGTAGAGCTGAAAGCAATTAATAATATTATTGATTTCATATATTTATGCAACGAGAATAATATAGACGCAAAACAATTTCGTTATGTTGGTTTGCAATTTTCGGATGAGATGAAATCATTATTTGATGGAATTTCAGCCACTCGGAAAAGAAAGTTGGGGTCCTTCTAAAGACACAATGCCCATAAATGGAGTTGTTTCTTCTATGCCAATCGAACCAATTGGAACAAATTTTGAAGAATTTATTGATTTAGGGTCTAATTCTTCAGCTCCATTTTCAACTCCGAATGATGAAATAAAAAAAAGCCGAAAAACGTCTAAAGAAGAACAAGGATGATGACATTGATGATCATTTGTCGGCAGTACTAAAGACATTGGAAGAATCGAAGGACCTAGTATAGAACAGTTGCAATAAGAAGTTAGATGAGATGGAGACTTTAAGAATTGATGACCCTTTATATATAGTTGCATGTGCTATCTTTTGTGAAAGCAAAGCATATCGAGAGCAATGGATAAACCTTTCTCAAAAGCCAAAGGAAGTCGAAGCTGGATGGATCAAAATCGTTGCTAAAAAGTTGACATTGTTTTAATTGAATATTTTTCCTTATGATTTGTGTTTATTATTTTAGAATAATTTATTTTATTGTGATTGTCTACTGCTTTCATAAGAATTATTGTTTGAATAAAAGTACTTCAATTTGAATATCTTTCCTTTAATTAGATTTCTCGTCGGCTTTTTGATACATGCTTTTGTTTTTGTTTTTTTTATATAATTAACGAGCATGTTAACGGATAGGCAAAAAAAGAGTTTAAGGATTATTTTGTTGCTTCTTATATTGAAAAGGATTAATAGAAGACGTGTTGGAAGAAGACCGGATACGTGATTCGGCTCTTGAAGGACATGCATATATGTTAGAGATCCTTAATGGAAATCCAGCTCATTGTCAAGAAATGTTGAGAATGAAAAAAGAAGCATTCTTAAATTTATGTGATTATTTCAAACAAAAAGGATGGTTGAGAGATAGTCGTTATATTAAGGTTGAAGAAAAAATGGCAATGTTTTTTATAACTTTAAGTCAAAATTTTCGAAATCGTGCTCTGTGAAACGAAGATTTAATCATTCAACTCAAACAAGTACATCACTATTTCCATGAAGTGTTGTAAGCAATGTTAAAGTTTGCAACGAAATGGTTGTACCTACTTCATTTTATCCCGATTTAAGTCAAGTTCAACATCACCGTCAACTTCGTCAAGTATTTCGGGTTATACATTTAATTTTTTATTTCTAATTTTATTGGTTTGTGTATTTTAAAATTAACTAAATTTATTTATTTATAGGGTGTCTGTAGGTGCCCTTGATGGGACTTTAATTCGTGCTTGTTATATCACCCGATCTACAAGTCCCATATAGAGGGAGAGGACGAGGAGATTGCTATCAAAATGTCCTTGCAATATGTGATTTTGATATGATTTTTACTTTTGTTTGGGTTGGATGGGAAGGTGTAGCACATGATTCAAGAGTGTTAACGAAACTATGCATGACTCATCAAATAATTTTCCCATCCCTCCACTCGGTAAGTTGCTTCATTCTTATTAAATTATTTTTTATAAAAAAATTCCCCTTATTGTTTTTTTTTTTTTTTTACGTTATTAGTAGGTGTATTGCGTCCAAATGTTTTACGCTTTTCATGCAATTTATCGGATTAATATTTGATGGCAAATAAATATTATCTTTGTGATGCTGCATATGCGCATACTAGAGGATTTATGGCACCATATCGTAATACACGATATTGGTTATCCGATTTTCGCAATGGTCGTCATCCAAGATCAAAAGAAGAAGGGTTTAATCATGCACATGCAAAATTGAGGAATGTTATTGAATGAACATTTGGTGTTCTAAAAGCAAGGTTTCCAATTCTAAAGACAATGGCCCCTTATCCATTTGTAGTTCGGAGAGATATTGTTGTTGCATGTGTTGCAATACATAATTATCTTCGAAGAACAATTGTTATTGATAGCTTTTTTGAACAATTTGATAGCGATTATACGATGCATCAAACATCAAATATTACTCGTAAATTTACCATTTATCGGAGGAGGGGCGCAAGCACGAGTCGATCAAACATTTATGATTAATTTGCGAGATCAAATTGCAAATGAATTAATTAGTACTTGAGATTTCATTTGTTTTATGAATAATACGACAATTAATGTTATTTTAGATTGTATTTAATTTTTATTAATAATCATTTTTATTAAATTTTAATTTATTTATTTATACACACAAATACATTTATATATATTTTTTATTTGTGTTAAAAATATCATGTTATAATTACAAGGTTAAAATTGTCATATACATAGCCTTAATATGTTCAGCAATAGTACTTATCAAACAGAATTATTATATTCGAGTACTTAATTTTCAGTAAATACCAAACGACTTGTTAGGAATATATTCAATACTTAAACAGATTTAGCACTTAAAATTCAGTACTTAATTTTCAGTTTTATCAAACGGCACCTAAATTAGCTCTTATTTTTTAAGTATAACTAACAAAACTCAAATTTACGAATTTGTAATTGTAATTTGTTTCTATTTTTATTGGCTGGTTGAATATCATAAATTTGGTATAAATTGAAGAAGTTACATTAACTAGCTAGAAAAGAAGTCACTGCTGCATATATAGACAAGTTAAAATTTGCTATATATATATATATATATATAAAAACAATTTGATATAAAAATTCATTAATTCCTTATAAATTCTATTTATCATTAAAAAATCATAAATTTGCACAAATAATTAATGAGATGAAAAATAGGTAAATAATATTTTATTATAGATGTGTCAAATGGGATGATGGGTAGGTATATACGTTGGTAAATTATATTTCATTATAAATATATATGTGTGTGTGAAAACTACTTATTTAAATATAATATAGTTTTTCAACGTTAAATTTAAATGGCAAGTGTTGCGAAATTTTGGTTTTTTTTTAAAAAAAAATCATTTTTCAGTGCAACCAAATAGAAGTACACTAAATATTAACCATTGATCTCTGTTTTAATCTAACAGCTCATACAAGAATATGAATTAATTAATAATGCAGGTACGTACTTAATAACTCTTCTGATTTCTCTTCCTCAATTGCATGCAGTACTTCCTTAATCACTATCTTTTTACTTTTAAATTTTACTCTACTGATTTTTAATTTTTTTTTTCATTTCACTTACTTTATTGAGGTTTTAAAGGGTTTTTTTATATATATTTTTGAAACCATTACGGATTGGCGCAGAAACTGTTATTGTGTTCTTGAAGGGTCTTCTTGAAATAGGATGAGCACTATTTCCAGGTAGTCATGTGTTCTTGAGAGAATTCACAGAAATGAGGCTGCTTGTCAAACCTACAAGGTTTCAAATTTAGAAGGCACGGGCACGAGGAACTGAGAGAGATTATAAGCATAAAGGGAAAAGTTCATCTACATACATAGCTCAATTAGAAACGACCGTGAAAATAATATTTTAAATGTTTTATATTTTGTTATCCGGTAAATGGGTTTTGGTACAGCTTAAAAAATTGAACCGTCTCAACTCTACAATTGCTTCAAGCCACAGCCGCCTCAACCAAAACTCCTCAATTTCAAAGCAATCTTTATGATACTTAGTCTATTTCCATTCTCAAATGCTCATTGATCATATCTAGCAACATGTAAAATTTGGCGGAAGCATGATAAGTTGCATGTTCAGCGTGAAATTCATGAACAATACCATTTACCTAAATCCAACTACTGGCAGGTTTTTTCTCAACTTTTCAATCAGCCATCATTTTCCTCATCTTCTGTTCATCTTCAATCCTATTTGCTGCATTGTATTTGTTCCGCAGAAGCACACATACTCCATCACCACAAGGTTCTAATTCAATTGTCTTCTTTCCAGCAATTTCAATTTTCAGCCAAGTCCAAGTTCCTGTAGTTTACACAAGAGCTAAGCGATGATCCCCAGATACAGCATCTGGCTCGACAGTCATATTTTCGGTCAACTCTTATGCTTCTTCCAAAAGGCCTGCTTGACAAAGGTCTACCATGCATCCGTCTTGGGTTCAAAACCATAGGATTGGATCATTACTCTAAAACAGTTTCTTTGCCTCAACAATCAATCCTGAATGGCTGCAACCTGATAGAACCAACGAAAGTGTAACATCGTTCAGAATGACTCTAGATTCTAACATGTCATAGAACATCTCAAGAGCACAGTTTCCTTTCCCATGAGATGCATGTCCTAATATGACAGTAGTCCAAGAAAACACATCTTTTTTCACCAATCCGTTGAGAATCTTCTTAGCAGACTCAAGACATGCACCCTTTGAGTAATAATCCATTAGAGCATTGCTCACAGTAAGATCCTCTTCTAGATTAACTTTGCTGATACAACCATGAATAGCTTGACCATGATCAAGAGGCCCAAGATCAGCACCAGTATCCAGCAATGAGTATTGAATAGTCTACGGATATAAATGGGAGCAGAGATCATCTACAAACATAACATCTGACGATCCTTCCAGCCAAATACAAGTCCTGCTTCTTCACCATCTAGTTGAGGCCTCCCTTTACGACTGAAAATCTACTGTGTCTATATAATTGAGCAAGAAAACAATGATTTGGCAAGGACTGGATAAGCAAGAACTCGGGGTCCAAGTGCATGCATCAAATTACATTTCCCTACCAGTGCCAGAGTAACTTTTATTAAATCAAGATACCTTTATACATTGTCCTAAGCTATAACCATTGCCTGAACTGTGTCTAAGTCTGACATTTTCTTGATCCTGCACAGGGCCAGAAAGGCATGAGGGATTGACAACAAGACCAACTCATATAATCAAAAGAAAGTTTATTTTAACAAAAATAGAAAAAACAAATCACATAAAGCAATGCACATAATAAATATTGATCGGCATCATCAAAGTTTACTTCCATCAAAGGACCTATGTCTACAGCAAAATAAGACAGCATGATAAGATTTGATGTTGCTGAAGAAAAGAAGCTTAGGAAACTTACTTCTTTAACACAAAAGCTCTTCCTGTTTTAGAAATCAATTTTTTACATTTTTTTTAGCATATTTTCTCATCCACATGACGAGCCTCAATGAAACTAACACTATTGTTAGAAAGAACTTGTAGTGTTACTTTGTTACCATGAAAACAAATAGATTAATATGTTTAATTGTAACATATAATAAGCATTTGCAAAATATCCACATATTCTAATGTCAGCAATGATATTTGCACGAAAGATCAAAAAGATGCATGATACACCCACTGGTACAAGACATCGCGACTAGGTGCTGGTATCCAGCAAATCCAATCTGGAACTCGCTTTTCAAGAATCCCAATCTGTTCTTCAACCTCCCCTGTAAAAGAAGACTAGGTAATTCTTCAATGAGAAAAATATGAAGCACACTATACAGGAAGAGCCATTGTGACATGCTTCTGTCAATAATATCTACACTACCCAGAATTATCTTGTGCACAAGTTCCTCCTTTGTGATTGGAGAGAAGTTAACAGACTGGAAGATGTTGTGAATCAAAGAAACTATGTCAGGCAAGTGAATAGACATCTGCAGGCGTGTTGTACCAGAATGGCAGGTTTTCTGATCTATGGATGAGCTACCAAGGCTTCGCTCCACCTACAAAGTAAATCAAGTATAAGACTTTTGAGTCAACAGGATTGCTCCAAAGACAAAATGCAATCACTGCATGGCAGCACAAGTAATGAATGCACAAGCCAAAATCCAGCATGTATATCTGCATGTCTAACATACATGCTGGCATGCTAAAGTTGATCCTAAACAGAATTCCTAATTTTACCAAATATGTCTATTCAAAACATCTATAAAAAAAAAAAAAAAAAAAAAAATGAAGGAAAAAAAGAAAAGGTAAGCACAGAAAAATGTGGATATCTTCCTTTATTTATCTACCTCATAAAAATGACTAAACAATTATCATCTCATCAAGGATCTTGAATAGCAGCTGGCTAAGCTATTTTTGGTTACATAGAATTCATTCATTCATAAGAGAAGTATTGTATTGTTGATTATGGCAGCACAGGAAATCAGCAAAAAGATTATCATCTAGAGGTTCAAACCCATGAAATTTATTGACTTCCAAAATGATGAATATGACTAGGTTGAACAGGAAAAAGCAGATTTTTTTAAGTAGTGAAGAAGAGGCAGAAAGAGTTTGAGTGCTACTATCATGTAAAAATTCATAGCATTCTGATGCATCTTTATCACCTTCCAAGTATGAGAAATCTAACACCCTTTTAGCAGGCTTACAAGATAATGTCTGCTTTTGACCAGCAGTGGCCTGCTGCTTGTCATCAGAGCTAGGCATTGCTCTCCTTAGAGTTGACTATGCAGACGTTTCTAACAGCAATTTATCAACAGATCAGCCAGGTGTACACTTGGGGCTGGCAGAAGTACAGACATCAGCAGAGGCTTCAGGATTAATTGGTTGGCTAGGCAGATGATTGACAGAGGTAGATTTGGAATATGAGATGCAAAATTCTTTTCCTTGTTCGCTTTTGATGTCCAGGTTGGTCCTGTCATCAATTGAGAACACGACTCTGGAGATTTTCCAGTTCTTGCTTCATTGAGATGTTCATTATTCAGATTGCCAGACGGTGAAACTGGTGGAGGAACTGGAGATTCTCCTCTTCAGAGAAAGTCTTCTGAGAGAAGTTTCTATTGAAAGATGAATGTAGACGGGATGGATTACAAAACATCTCACTTTCAATGGCAGCGGGCAGATATGCTCTTGATTGATCTGCAAACATTTGCTCTGTAGCTATGGTCTCACTTCGTTTGTTCAAGGGTTCACAATAGACAACCTCTGAAAGGTCACCAGCCTCGTTACATTTGTTGAATGGACCTGGCAATATAGCCTGTGGAATATCACAAGCCTAGCAAGCAAAAAACAAAGAATTGTCTCGATTCTTTTCACTCTTTGTAACCCAAGGTAAAAGAAATGTTACGGAATTTTATCTATTCAAGATTATAGATCCATAGAGCTAACCCTAAAAGAAACAGAATGTTATGGTCATCAGTGGAACCAAACATTACAAAACACCAGAAGCCTTTATATGCTCATCCTACAGGTAAGTGTTAAATAGATGGAAGGTGTATACAAGCATGCCATCTAAAATGCATAAATCTCTCATACATGCTGCAGTCCAGAACATTCTTATATGTACCCCAAGTGTATTTTTTCACTATATATGGCAATCATAATTTATCAAGCAATAAGTCCCTGCCATACTCTGAGCTTCAACAGTCTATTTGGGCTGAAACAAAGCTGTTGCTACATGCTTACAAACGGTACAATTAATCAGATAAATCACAATGTTAAATTCTTATTCGGGTCAACTAATTCACAATTCTGCAATAATCAATCCAAATGAAAACTCAGGCAGCAAGAAATGGAAAGGAAGACTGATACTGGGACAAAGAAATACCTCAGGATGCTTTAAAAAGTAATCAACAAGCCTAGAAGAAAAAATTTGGCGCAGAGCAGTAAAATCAGATTCTTCATCACGGCCTTCTACAACATCAAGCAGCAATCCAGTTTTCATATATGGCTTCATACATAGTGATTTCTTGTTATGTACAAGAATCCTAACTATCTGTATAGCTTCAGGAAGTAAATATTTTATCTGTGCAAGATGTCCGTAAGAGAACGTCCTGAAAAAAAGAAAGAAATAAAGAAACAGCAACAGTGGAACTTAAATAACATTAAATAAACCAAAAGAGAGGCAGATTTGCATAAAATAATCAAAACAAGAATCGAAACAAAACTAAGACAGTGGCTGATACCTTTCAGTCAAGACTTCAACTTGTACAGATATATTTTGAAAAGTAGTTGACTTTTACTCCGACCCAGCAACCTCAATGACAAACTCATACTATCAAAAAGTTCTAGAATTGTTTTGTACCTAAAGAAACACAAAAACATCCCTGCCTAGTATTAAAAACCAAAAAGTAAAAAAAAAAAGGAAAGAAAGAGAATCTCTTATAAATTGAAAGAAATGCATCAACTAAAAATAGTCCACATCTATAAAAGTTCAAAATTCTCCTTCTCCGGATTTGGTATTCAAAGGCTCCTTCGTCTTGGCATGTGTTCGAGATGCAAATATATTAGCTTCCAAACATTTGTGGGTTTCAACAATTTTTGGGTTTTTTAGATGATTTATCAACTAAAGGTACATTCTTTTTTCACTTAGTCCAAAACTTTTTATCAACTAAAGGCTCATTCCTATGCTCCATGCTTGATAACACACTAATTTACCGTTCAAAACCTGCAAAACAATGCAATTAGAGAGCTGTAGATAAACAATGAGCAAAATTAAAAAATAGGTTTAGCGTAAAAGACTTGTGGAATTTAAAAGCAAACCTGTAATTGTTACCGTTTGAGTTGAATTGGGAAACCTAAATTGAAAAGATTGGTGAGTTTATACTACAGTGGAGACTGGAGAGGGAAAGGTAGGAAGGAAGTAAAAATGAAATAATAAAACGTTTGGTTTTAATCAGAAGACAAAATTGCCCTTCTCGTCATTAGGCCTTAATCAATAGCCAGTAACTATAATTCTTCTACTTCGGCCATGTCAAGAAAAAAACACAATGGGCTTATAAATGCAAGATCTTAATAAATACCGGATTGATACCAAACTCTTCTTGTGCCACCCTGGATTTCTCTTTACATCCTATCCCAAATGATTCTAGAGGCTCTCGTTTCGCTATTTCTTTACGGCTTCTGGGAAATTTTGGCCAAAAATAGTGAAAGCAAGAAATTTATCGGAGCCCCCTGAACCATCCGGAGCATGGCCGTACGTTGATTGGTCACCTGCCTTATCTAGGTGGCTAAGACCCAGCATGTAAAACTCTTGAAGCCATTGCCGATAAATATGGCCCTATTTACTCACTCAGGCTCGGCATTCAACGACCACTGGTGGTGAGTATTTGGGAAACAGTAAAGGATTGCTTAGCTAGCAATGACAGAATTTTGGCTACAAGAGCAAGTATTTATTGCAGCAGGAAAGTATATGGGTTACAAAAACGCAATTTTTGCGTTAGCCCCGTGCGTATGGATAGTATTGGCGTGGTGTTAGAAAGCTGGCCACTCTCCAGCTTCTGTCAAACCACCGGCTTGGAATGCTTAATTAAGCACCTCCCAGTTTCAGAAGTCGACACATTCATCAAAGGTTTGCAAAATTTTTAGGCAGAAAAATATGGACTATCCTGCCAAGGTGACTATATGCAAATTGTTTGAGAGCTTGAAGTTCAACATAAGCCTTTGAACGATTCCATGGCTTGAGCGAATTGATTTTCAGGGGCATGTAAGTGCTATGAAGAGGACTGCCAAGGAACTTGATGCTGTGTTAGGAAATTGGCTGGAGGAACATCTTAAGAAAAAAGCAGATGGTGATAGCGACTTCATGGACGTGATGATGTCCAACCTTCCTGAAGGTGCTGAGATGTCTGGCTATTCTCGTCATGTTGTCATCAAGGCAACAGCTATGGTACGTTGTCTAGATGTGAATAATTAAGCGGGTTTTTGCCTATATATAATTTCTATATTTTCAAATTATTTTAATTAAAATCTTATATTTTTTTCGTGCTAATTGAGTTTTTCTATTTTCTATTTTATTTTTATCATTCTATTACTATGCAGTTAGTTCACAAGCTGCCACAGTCTTTCTACTACTAAATAAATGACATGTGTCAACTATATTGGAGAATCTCAATCAAAATAAATTAAAGAGTTAGAGAATTCGATCAATATAATTCAAAGACTAAAAAAACCAAATTATTGTTTTTTAGTTTTTCATTTTCATGTTATTGCTTATTTAAAACCTCATCCTAAGTAGTTGTAATATGTGATGCATGAGACTCAATCACAATAAAAATGTAAATTATTATTGTTTTTTATAAAAATGGGTCTAAAAAATAAAAATAAAAAAAAAAAAAAAAAAAACACCTAACATGCAATTATTAGAACAAAAATATATTGATGTACAAAATCGATTAGCAATTACTATAAATTAAAAGGTTTAAGGGTTTTAAACGGTAGCAATCATTGTTCATCCCCTCACATAATACTATTTATTCCTATAGCACATTTTTTCTTTTCTTTTCTTTTCTTTTTTCTCTTGATATGGCTAGGCCTCTATTTTGGCTTTTATTTTTATTTTAGTCCTTGTTTTGTAATATTCTTTTTATTTTGGTCATTAGAATTTTATTATATTTGATTTTTGTTCTTATAATAAATATTCTTTTCTTGACTTTTTGTATTTTTTTTTTAAGTTGTTTCTTTCTTTTCTTGTCTTTTTTCTTTTTTTGTAACTAATCCTCTCATTTGGCTTTTATTTTTATTTTAGTCCTTGTTTTGTAATCTTTTTTTATTTTGGTAATTAAAATTTTATTATATTTGATTTTTATTGCTATAATAAATATTTTGTACTTGGCTTACAAATCACTATTCATTCTCGTAGCAAAGGGTTTTTTTTTTTTTTTTTTTTTTTTTTTTTTTTAAGTTCTTTCACTATACATGATTTTTCTTTTCTTTTCTTTTTTCCTTTGCTTTTCCATCAATCTAGGTTCTTTTTTTATTTAATTTTTTAAATTTTTAGGTTATTTTATTTTGTTCTCTAAAATTTTAATCCCCTAGCTAAGGCACTACACATGTCTTTTTTTCTTTTTTTAACTTTTTTCCATCAATTTATGTTCTCTTTTTTTCATTTGTTGATTTTTGTAAAAGTCTCGTCCATTAATTATAACTTTATTTTTGGAATATAATATTATGATAAAAATATTTTAAATGTTTTTTAAAATTCTTGATTAATATTTTAGTTAAAATTATTAATTTTTTATTTTAAAATCAATCTATAAAGAAGGATGATTTATGTTTTTTAAACAGAAAATTTATAAAAAAAATTAATTTCAAGTTGTTTCATTATACATGCTTTTGAAGGATCATGCATCTTATGGAGATGTGAAATAAATAAAAATTTTCCTCCATCTAAGGCTCCAAGATCAAGCCGTTGAATCTACTAACCATACATACATGAATAACAAGCTATAAGTAAAAGATTACTCGTTTTAGTGCAAATCTAATCTCTTTTTCAACAAAGTCGTCCAAGTGTCTACCCTCTATTTATGATCCACGTAGTCCGGGTATCTACAAAAAAGCATTCAAAATTGATGGGGTGCTAGCTTCACCTTTTCTAATTAACTATTTTCTCTATAAATCAATCCCGGACAACTTTGTGACAATCTTAAAAGAAAAGGAAAGAATATTTGTTGCTAGGATTTAGGAGAAAACTATTTTCTCATTTATTTCTCTCTTAGTCGTGTGCCCTAAATGAATTTTTTGGGCTGGCTGAATTTTTTCTTCTTTTTTTTTCTTATGTTGGTGGAATTTTCCCTCTCCCTCATATATGTTTATAGGAGAGTTTCCTTGTCCTCCAAGGACAAGGAAAGTGAAGGACAAGGAAAGTGGTCTGCTATAAGTCTATAAATGACTCCGGGTTATTGCTTCCTTATCCTCCAAGGATGAGGAGATAGTTTATATGTAGGCTATTTGATCATTATTTTTAAAACATTCAACCTTATCCAATAAGATTGATGTTTATCTTTAAAATATTCATCCTTAACCAATAAGGTTGATGTTTATCCTCCAACCAAAATTATCTTTAAGCTTTTAATTAAATCTAATGGGCTAAAACTATTTTATCCCAATTAATTTATTTGGATTATCCAAATAAATATTCTTAGATTATTTTGGCGGTGGTCCACGTTAGGAAACAATTTTCCAAGATACCGTTTAGCCTAAATTAGAAAACTCCTTTCCTTTTACGTTATTTATTTTTAAATTTGAAACTAACTTCCAAATTAGAAAAATGATTTATAAAATAGGAAACTTTTCATTTTTGAAACTCTTTCCAAAATAGAAAACTTTTATAATTGAAAACTTTTTCCAATATCCTTGCTTCTCATTTGTAATGTGAATACTTAAATATATGCGTGTGATTCAATAGGCTCCTAGATATGTTAGCAATGTATCGAGAATAAAAGACTCCTCTTTAATCTCTTGGTACATAAATCAAGATTAGCCTCTAGCAATACATCATGACTACCCAATTCTTTAAGAGGATTAGTTAATCCATTATTACCTTTCACGAGCATAGTTGCCATATAATTCAATCATTATGTCAACTTATCACTATATAATCTCGAACTTAATTATTAGTCTTTTTCAATTATGATCACATAAGTTTTCCTCGATTTTCAAATGTCCTAGCTCTTAGAGTAAACCAACTATGCTCTATTGGTGTATTCCTACTATGACCATAGATTTCTTAAGCGGACATTTATCAAAATCCAATGTGATAACTCATATAGCATACAAGGAATGACATGTCCTATTTTAGTCGGACATCTACCTCCATTAGATTCTTAGTGCACCCAATAAATCACTCGTATGAGATTCTTGTAGACTATTTGTACCCATCTCGTATGAGATTCTTGCATTCTTGTAGACTATTTGTACCCAATAAATCACTCGTATCAATGGGTCTATCGAAACGAGTATCAAAGTACATAAGTCCTCCAATGAGATAACCATGATGACTTCAAGTTTAAGGACCATTTGTACCCATCTCATATGAGATTCTTGTAGACTAAAACCAAATGGGTTCTCATGGCGAGTCAAGTCTAGTGACATATTCACTAATATAAATCACCTAAGCGCTTGATTGGCATTACCATGCCAATAAATGTGAGATCTCCTACTCGCTATCATATAGCATGAGCATAGCACTCACAAGTCTATCCGTATTTGTCAATGTCCATTCTTGACAATGCTACAACTTGGGACATTTAATGATATCATTTATGTGCATTAGTGTTTATCTCACATCTTTCGATCAATCACTATTGCAAATACGTATCATAATGACTTCTATCTAATTCGGTAACATATAAACAAAAGAATTAACATAATGACTTTTTTATTATTATCAAAATAAATAATGCAATGATACATTAACTCAAGCCCATCCATATATAGTTGGATCTTGGGCACCTACATTAACAGCTTTTTTTTCTTTTCTTTTTTCCCTTTCCTTTTCTCCATCAATCTAGGTTCTTTTTTTGTTTTTATTTTTTCATTTTTAGATTGTTTCATTTTTGTCTCTCGAAATTTTAAAATAAAATTTTTAACCCCTAGGTGATATACTACACATGCTTTCTTTTTATTTTTTTCCTATGCTTTTTTTCATCAATTTATGTTCTTTTTTTTATTTCTAAATTTTTGTGAAAGTCTCGTCCATTAATTGTAACTTTACTTTATTGGAATAAGTCTCGTTTAGTAATTATAACTTTATTTTATTGGAATACAATATTATGAAAATTATATTTTAAAAGTTTTTTTTAATTCTTGATTAATATTTTAGTTAAAGTTATTACACTTTTTATTTTAAAATCAATTCATAAATAAGAATGATTTATGTTTTTTAAACAAAAAATTAAATAAAAAATTATAATTAAAAAAGTTTAAAATTTAAAATTGATTTTTTTCTACTTGGACCCGTAATGTCGTGTGGGCCAATGACTAATATATTTCTAATTGATGAGTGTAATTCTCTAAAAGAAGAAGAAGAAGAAATTTCAAATTTTACATGTGTACTACCCCAATAGCTAATTGGGTTGATGCTCATGTGGTACTTGACTTGCAATAATTTTGAATTTTACACATTTTGTGGTAATTAATTAAGCAAATTCGACCCTCACAGGAGCAAGAAGCACAGCGACCACATTAACTTGGGCAATGTCCTTATTGCTAAACAACCCAAATGTTACGAAAGCTCGCTCAAAAAGAGCTGGACAAACAGGTATGAGGAGAAAACAGGGGTGGAAGAATCAAATATGCGGAACCTCAACTACCTAGAAGCAATAGCGAAAGAAACTATGCGCTTATACGCACCAAGTCCATTAACAAGAATATACGCATGAGGCCATGGATGATTGTCATATTTTTAGCTATTTTGTTCCTAAGGGCACTTGATTAATGGTTAACATATGGAAGTTGCATAGAGACGGGCTCATGTGTGGAAAAATCCTTCAACGAGTTTGAAGCCGAGAAATTTTTGACAAAACATGCATGCCATTCTTGATTTTAGGGGTCAAAATTTTTAGTTCATGATTCCTTCTAGCTCGGGAAGAAGATCTTGCCCTCGCCATTAATCTTGGCTTGCTAGTGGTTCATTTGACCCTTGTGGACATGAGGGAAGGCCCTAGCATCACTACAAAAAAAGAGCCAATTAGTGACGCATTATTTCGTCACTAATCGCTCTAAATCCATCTCTAATTGTCGTTAGCGACGGACTAGCAACGGATGAACTATTCATCGCTATTTTGCTTATCGCTAATTTTTAGTGAGGGAAAAATACATTCCGTCGCTAAATTAGTGATGGAATGTTTGTTGCTAATCCGTTGTTGTTTTCATCATAGAACCATTATGGTTTCCGTCGCTATTCCATTGCTATAT